CCGCTGTGACACAAGGAGAAATGCATCGTCCTGCTGATACCTGCTGAGCCACGCTTGCTGCCTGCCTTCATCCCACAACAGTGAAGAACAGCAGGTCAGGGGCTCTGAAAAGGCTGGCAGGTCCCTTGTATTTGGGGGGGCCTGGTTTAGGCAGTGAGGTGCTTGGTATTTTTGCAAGTGGGGCAATAGCGTACAAATGGTGAGAGGCAGGAATGAGGGTTCTGAAGGAAGGCATGTGCCTTGAGATGAGGTAGAAGCTGTCTGGTACTTTTTGGAAAGTTAAATTAGAGCCTAGGGTGCTAATTGTTGGTGGATTCAGCACTCAGGATAAGAGTTTTACAGAGGTCATCTACTGCTGGTGCAAAAGCTGCAGGGTCTTTAATCATACAGAGAAACGACGCTGCTTTTTTTTGACAGGCAGCTCTTTTCCTAGGTGGTAACAGCATGCCCCAACATGGGGTAAAGCCAAGGCCTGTTCCAACACATTGCATCCACACCAAGGGACTAAGTGCTCCAGATATATTCTCTTTAGAATTCTGCACGAGCAAATCCTTTAATGTAAAAAGTGACCCATACTGCTCTGAAGGCCAGCATTGGCTGCCTTCCTGGATAACCTGGGTCAGTAAATCCTCCTTAATTTTGAGTTGCAGCTCTAAAGTTGAGTTGCTTTTGCGTAAGCAGTCTACTCTCCTAAAAGCAAGTTCCCTGCCTTGATAACCCCCTACAGCATTCAGAGCATCAGGATGGGGAGAGCTCTGTCCGTCCTGGACTGCCTCATTCACCTTTGGAGGAACACGTGACTTTGCTGACAGTACGGGAACAAAACCCAAAAGAATGAATATTCCTCATTTCTTTGTTGCCATTTTAAAAGCGGATAACCATTTAATGAGTTGTTCACCCTCCGGGGCTGTAAGTTCTTGTATAATTAGATAATGAGCAATTATCATTACAGCGTTTTGTTCTCACGTGGTGCTACGTGGATTCCAGCACTGACCACGTTTCAAAGGCTCGTGTTCCAGGTTATTACCCAGTAATGCTATGGGAAGCACTAGCACCCCCTTTACAAGAAGACTTTCTTAGAGGGGACAATCTCCCAGTATTACAGGTGCTAACATAAATCCCACCTGCTCTTACTGGACTTGCCCCATGGTAGTTTGGAATAGTGTTGATACCCACTACAATGGGAAAACCCTAAAATATTCCAAGGAGATTATGTGGTTGGGTGCTTCCCAAAATACTGCCTTTCATGTCCTTAATGCCACCCTTGCCTTTCCTGCTTTGGCAGGGAAAGCCAACATCAGGGTTACATGGAGTGGTTTAGAACGGAAAGTTATTGGACAACGCAAAGGTTTAGATTTGGAGTAGCCCCCAGAAGGGCTGCTATGCTAAGAAAAGCACCTGATGCAAGTCAGGACTTACAGGATGTACTTGTGTTGAGGTCCGCAACTGGTAATTAATTAATTCGTTAAAATACCTGGAGAGATTTAAAATGGGCACATGGTGAGAACATGCGTGCAAGAGGAGGATCTTGAAATCACTTAAGCTTTAGGGCAAACAAAAAACAGATGGGAGATGGGCGCGGTGATGAAAAGGTGTAGGCAAGGGGCCTATATCTGTCATTATTCCTGCAGCTACAGTTTAATTACCATTCCTAGGCTTTGGGGAACAGAGATTTTTTTTAAAAAAAAAAAAAGGTATGGGAAGGAACACAAGTTCTGCGGTTGGAAGATGCCCCTTAGCATCATCCCAAGTCTCTGCCAAGACTCTTAATATGCTTTACTCATCACCCAGATTAGAAACTGTTTCCCTCATCTTCAATGTTAAGGAATTGCTTTCAAAGGGGGGAAAAAAAAAAATAATTGAGAAGCAAAGCCCTCTACTCCCTGAACTACTACTCCTTGTTTCAGCAGCACCAGAGCAGAACTCGGCACGAGGCACAAGGAAGGCAAGAAGCCCTTTTCCAGCTGTCTGGGCGATAAGCAGGTGTGCACTGCAATCTTGTTTTGTGCAGTTGTTAGTTGGGACAACAGGCTACAACAACAGGTTACAGAAAGGTAAGCTATTTACCTGGAGGACGTTACTTAAAGCTGATCTTAATGTTGTAATGCAGTGAAGGTAAGAGGCAAAATTAGCAGCCTACTCTGAATGGAAGATTTTTTTTTTTTCCCCCCTTGAGGCCTACAATGGCAAAATGACAGTGACTTATACCACCAGGACAACAAACCAATCCATTTAGCGAGGAACAAGTATCACATGGCAGGGCTCAAATAAAGCAAAATGTTAGTTTGGATTTTAATACTTGCTGAAAAGGCCCAAAACAATTTTTTCTAACACTGTTCTCCTGGTTGCTAGAACACAAGGAAGAGAGATATTTGGATTACAAAAACAAAAACAAAACAACAAAAAACCCAAAACTTGATTTTTCACAGTATTGAAACAGCTAATGAAGCTTGTTTGTGGAAAATAGATGAAGTGCCTGCAGGGAAGAATTCACTATTGAAGAAGTTGACTAGCAGATGTCAACTGAACTGTATTTAGTCCTTTCCACAAAAAAGCCACGTCAGGCAAAGCAAGCCAAAGGGGAGGGGTGGAGAACATGAATTATTACTGAGCAAAGGTAAAGCCTGATTTTTTTTTTTTCCCCCCCAAGAATGCACAGTAATGGAATAAAGATCTGGGGTTTGGGAGCCTTTTTTTTTTTCTTTTTGGCTATTAAAATCCTGTCTACCTGTATCTAAGATGGCGTATGTTTGACCTAGCCACTGAGACAGATGCAGCCAGAGCCAAACTGCACATACTGGTTCGCTCTAAGAAAACCAAAGCCATTATCCTACTGGGGACACGATGCCTGGGGAACATCCATACAGAACAGCATGTACAATGAGCTGGGGTGAAGAGGCTGGTTGAGCTCATTTCAAAAGCTAGATAAATGCATTGGGATTAGTGGGCCAGCCACTAATCCTCACAGCAAGTTGAGAATTACAAAATTTCAGGTGCAAGAGCTGCTTCAAACCAGTGCATCTTTCTAAATGCTACACATTAACCCCTCATACAATTCTTCTACCAGTGAAAATGAGGGGTGCAGGTGAAGTAGCACATGAGGTTGCAATGCCAAGGAGATTTTTGCTAAACAGAGCATCATTATATGGCTTCTGAGCTTAGCCAGGGATGCTGAAGTTGATGGCTCTTCCCATTTTGCAGTAGAGCTTGAACTAGAAAAGATTCCTGTCCAAGGATAAGCATTTTATTTTCTTTTTAAATAAGCTAGGACGGAGGGAGTGGGGTCTTGGCTTGAGAATGGAGTAGGGGTGCTTTTCTCACTTTACAACAGCAATCAATAGGGAATGTGTTATTTTGTCATGTCAGGTTTCCTCAGCATAAGCAGCTCATTATAGTTTTGTGATGGAAGTTAAGTTAGAGAAAAACTGACAGAACTGTGATTTCCCAAAGGAAACAAAGCAAACATAATCTACTTTGAAAAAATCTGATTTTATTTTTGTATTGAAAAGACCTGTCAATTTAAATAGATGTTTATTTCCATTCATGGTCTCAACCAGTGCTGTGTGTTAACATTGTTCAGAACTATATAAAAAGCCATTTGAGTTACACCGGTTAACATCCTAGAACCCTAGGGGGGGGTTTGAAGCAGCTTAACATTAAAAATAGGATGTTTCCAAAAAACTTACAACTGATGCGGCATCTTCTATCCTAATTTTATAGGAGCTGAAGCATATTGCAAATACAACTCAAGTCATTTGGTCTTCAAAAAAAAAAAAAACAACTCTAAAACCAGACTGCTTTCATAGCAATATTGAAGCTGTCAGCTGACAGAATACACACATACACTCTCGTGTGTGCAAACACACACATGGAGAACCACAGTGAGCACAACTGGAACACCCCATTCAATATTTGGATTACGTATGCATTCTTCTGAATCCATGATAGCTGTAATTTAAAACTCTAGTTGCCTTTTTTTTTAATATATACACAGTTTCCATGGAAACCCAAGATTCTGCACAATCAACTGACATTTATTACTCATGGTGCTGTGAAGTTCTCTAGTGAAAGGGCCAAATTCCAAAACCTTTACTCAAACATGCACATACCGAAGCCAATGAACAGGGGAGAAGATGGTTTAGAAAAGGGGTTGCAAGGTCAAGGTCTAGATTTGAAAAATCACATGACAGATTGTCATTCAAAAAAGGTTTTTAAGTCATTCTTTGGTTTATTTCCATGATTCTCAACACTGTCCGAAAAGCCCAGAGACAGTCACATGAGAAACCATAGCTCTAAAGCAAGCCCACAGCATTTTAAAATCTTGTGTATTAAATGTTCAGAAGACTACAGGAATTCAGAGTACCCCTTACATTCATGTCCCCAAAAATCTAGTAACTGCTTAAGTGCATGCACTGAGGCATGACCGGCATGCCTGCAAATTCATATTGTTCAAGTTAAGAGTAAATATAGCTGCAAAAAACCCCACCCACCTATAATTAAATGGTCATTACTAGCAATACTATAGCGACTGTCTTGTTATTAAAGAAATGCAGACATGGTTTCTGCCTGTTTGGCTCACTCAGCCAAAAGGAAGCTGTCTGCTCGATTTAGAAAGAAAGCAAATTTTAAGAATCCAAGGGAGTTTAATATTTCCATGTTCCTGGGGTCAATTATTAATGTAAAGATGTAGACAAATGGCAAGTGTATGAAAGCGTATCTCGTACATTCCAAGGTTTGGAAGTCAAAAGCAGATCTTAACTTCCTTATGCTTAAATGTTATGGTAGGCTTGGAAAACCAGTAAGAAGTGATACAATATTTCCATGAAAACCAAAGTAGAACTAAGTCTAACTGGCATTCGTATGCAAGCAGTTTTTGCTATGCTTTATGTAAGGCAGATTTTATTGCAAAGATAGTTACCAGTCTGCTAGTAGGAAGAAAATACAGGCAACTATACTCAGAGAAGATGGCTGATAATTACTAGTGACAACTTCTATTTTTCAGAACAACTCAGCTTTAATGTACTTTCTGGAAACAGCATTTTCATCACTGGTTTTCACTTCCTTCCCCATCCCATGTTAAGTATCAAAAATCAAGACTGGACAAAATGAATTGTGGATATTTACCAACCAACATCTCCTCATATTCCAATGTTATTTTTAACTGGAACAAATATAGGTCATCCTTTATAACCTACTGCCAGTGGTTGTTTATAAATATCTGCTTGCTGCAATAAACACTGGTCATTGAAATATTCATTTGCAGTAACTACTTGGCACTAGGTTAATATATTTGTAAAGTTTAATGGAAGTGCTTCAGATGTACATACAAGCACTTAAAACATCAGACTTTTAAAACTTAGTTTTGGGGGTTTTAATATCTATAGTTACAGTTTTCACAAGCATTTCTGAAAGTATTAAATCTCTTCAGAAGTTTAGAGGCTCCTGTCTCAGCATATCTAAGTTTCTCAACAATTACAGAATAGCTAATTCAACATTCTTGCTCCCTACACTGAGACTACATGGTACCAAAATTTAGCTATAAAAAGAGGCATTTTTGGTCAGACTGACCCCCAGCTGTCCCTTAACAGAAAAGCAACACAGCTCAAACCTGTCTCCTCTCTCCAGAAAAAGACACCTAAGGCCACAAATTTACATTTGCCAGAATATCAGGTGTATCTCCATTTGTGGCAACTGTGTACATGCCCACTTAGAGAAATACAGTATTGAAAGCCCCACCACCACCTTTAAGGGTAAACCACCTCAGAAGCCAGTTTAGGCAGCAGTGCGTATGGAACCACATTACATTGAAACAGTGTGTTAAAGCCATTCCAGCTAGTTAAACTAGTTTCTAACAATGTTTAATCAAAATTCCTAATTGCAGGAAAGAAAAAAAAAAAACCTTAATGTCGAGAGAGGCAAAAAGATGCAAAGATAACCACCACAATGATCCAATAGCAAAAACTCCTGTTTAAAGGTTTTCTTATGCTAAAAAAGGCACACAACCCCTTGTGAACTAGAGACAAAAGTTAGCAGTACTACAGCAATAAACCCAGAAGAAAAAGCCTACCAGAATTACCCAATTGCCTACTGGGAAGGAACAATGAAGTAGACAGGCTGCTCTTGCTCTGTTTTGTTTGCAGGGAAGTGGTCAAAATTTAATAGTCAAATTTAGCCACATTAAGAAACATTTAACAAAAGCTACCCCAAGAAACCAGAACAAAACCTGACCTTTGGGTCAAAAAGGCCACAGACAGGCCTTTCCATAGCATGTAGCTGAGTGTGTTCAGGGATTGGCAATGAAAGAAAAAAAGCTTTAGACATGTGATGGGAACAAGCTTTGGGATTTATCGAACAGTCACACCAAGCTTCTCCAGCACACGCACTCCCTTTTCTTGGTATTCTTGTCGGGTCATCCAGAAGTTGTCTTTGTCTTTCATGATGTCTGCTAGAACCGCGCCACCCAAAAACACCATGTGCTTTCGACGAGGTGGATCTTCAATTCGGATCTTAAATTTCTAAGAAAAAGAAAAAGAAACTGTTACTAGGATTCTTGAAACAAAACCTTTCAAAATAAAATTGTGCTTTCCACCAGAACAATGAAATGGAAACTGTTTAGTGAGAAAAACGCAACCAAAAAACTGAAATGCTAGCATAGGGCACTCTGCGTGAGCTTCCAGCTTGCGCAACCAAAGTAAAATAACTACTTTGCACTGGAAATTAGAGACAGCTATTGACACTTTCCCCGAAATTATACTTTCAGCATATCCACAAAAAGCCCAGGAGTCAGAATACAAAATTAAAGACCGTATTTTTGCATTTCATGAACACGGTAAAGAGTGAAATACTTCCTAAGCTTCGATGGCTAAAATTATCTGAAGTTACCAGATCATCAAATCACAAAGTATTTTAGAATTATACCAAGTTTTAGAAGGGCAGATGGAACAGATTTTAAATTTACACAATCTAGACCAGCTTAACTAATTAATAGTCCCTTAAATTCTTCGATGCTAAAGCTCTAACTTCAAGAGCAAAATTGAGTACAGTCAAAGCTTTGTGTGAAATATTGTCTTAGACTTAAAACATTCTGTACAATTGAGTCATTCCATATAGCTGCAAAGACCTTTAGAGAACACTGTATTAAGAACCAGGGAAGTTCAATTCAGTTCAACATTGGAAACTCCACTCAAGGGAATTTTCTCTGTACATATCTCCTCCTTGAAAAGCAGATAGCATTACAATGCAGTGTTACCTCTGTAACGTGTGTGTGGCTGTTGTCTGCTTATCACAGTAACCAATGAACAAGCGAAATTTATTTCACTTGAAGGTGTGTGAGAACTCTAGCCTCTTACTTTTGAGTATTTCACTTATAGCATGAACCAAAACTTTCACAGATTAAAAAAAAAAATCATTTTTGCTCAATGATGACTTTAAGGCACAAAAACTCATTAGCTTTGTTTAACCTACATTACAAGTTGTGCCCTAGCATTTATCAGGCCATTTTACATTCAAACTAACCCATGACTTCAGGAATTACTTGCTATTAGCATGGACTAGAAGGTGGCTTTATTGCAACTATATAGACACAAGCCATCTATACGAAACGCAGGGGTGTGAAGAACCGAGACACAGCAATTTTGCAAGTTGCATGCAGGGCCACCCGCAGCTTCTGTCATTTCTGACTACTTGGTTCCCTCTAGTGGGGATTCAGGATAAACCTCGGCCCCACACAAATAAAGCCGCGACTCGGTACCTACCGAGAGTTTTTCCACATCTCCTTTCAGAACTCGTTCCAGGTAGAGCTGTTTAAGTTCCCGCTCCAGTCGCGAAGGCAGCCCGGGGTACATGGTGGACCCTCCAGACAGCACAATGTGCTTGTAGAATTCAGACCTGACCAAAAAAATAGTCTTTCTAGTGGTGTATAGTACACTCAGTAGTACAAGTAGGTACCTGCACATACAGGGGAGTAAATAGAAATCTAAAAGCCAGTCACCACACAAAGACAGACTCTGCACAAGTTTGGCAGACTTGTTCATGCTCCTCCAGGCATCCCAGAAAGCAGCAGTAAAAAAATATTGTGCTTCCAAGATTTTATCCTTGCTCATTCATACCAAAATAGTCACGTTTCCAGACAACCTGTTAAGCTCCAAGATCTCAGACTGAGCCCCACTCCCAGTGCACAGATTTCCCCAGCAGTGCGTCTAAAGCGTCTAAAGCAAAAGATGTTACTTTGTTTGAACGCAGTTCTCACGTCACCCCTGCACCCTGACAGAGGATTTTAAGTGTTCTGCTCTTACCGGGTATCAATGTCAGCAGCCTGGATGGTGTTAAACAGCAATTCAGCCACACCAACCCCCTCTACATTGATTAAGTGAGGCTGGAAGAGAGCCTCTGGTGCCTCAAACCGTTCTCCACCAACTTTGATAATCCTGCCATCTGGGAGCTAGCGAAGAAAAAACACCATTTAGAAGACTACTTTTAGCCACTTGGATACTAATCAAACCAAAAGGAAATGACCTACATTGTTCCCTAATGTTTTAAAACAGGAAATTGTTGATAATTGTCACCACTGTAAGAAGTCATTCAGTACTACTGAAAGAAGATACAAATTCTTCAATCGTTATGCAATTTACTTAGAGACATCAGGGACCAGATACATCGATACTGACGTACCAAACATTTCCTTGCAATACAGCTCCTAATATTGATTTAAAAGATGATCTTACAGCAAGACTAATGCTTTCCTGCAAGTTCTTTTCTTCCGTGTGTGATCACAAGAAGTTTCCACTAAGTTTACCATTCTTGTCACCAGATATCAGTCTCATAGGTGTCACTGCTAGATGGATGAAGCTGAAACGATCTGACATGCTAGAGTAAGTCCGCTGTCTCTAGAAGTTCCTGTACTATAATATTCAAATTTCAAGGATCTACAATGACAAAAATTAGTACAAAGTCTTATGGAAAATCTGAAAAGAAAAAAAAAAAGCTTTTAAAAGTTTTCCCAGAACCAAGTAATCTGATTCTACAGACTCCTATGTCTGGGAAGTGAACTACTGCCAAGAAAAATTTAGAAGGAATCAAAGCTAAATGCTACCTGAATTTAAACCTATGAAGTTTAGGATAAGAAAAGCTGTCTGACTCACCGTGTAGGATTCAACTAGTACTGTGGTCTCTAATGCCAGTTTCTGCTCCTGTTCAATGTTGTATCCCACATAACATAGCTTCTCCTTGATCATGCGAACAGTCTCAAAATCAGCAGAATGGTTGAAAGCATACCCTCGCAGTAAGAGGAGCTAGAGGGAACATATTAGGTTAGCAGTAAGTGAGAGGAACAGTCCAGATCTCTTTATCAGTAGATGGGTACATTCAAACACGTATCTTTAAAAGTTCATCTCCCTTTTTTAACTGCAAATTTAGTATTAAGTCAAATCTGTCACAGTGTATCCATGACTACCAGAAAAGTAGAATAGCAGCAATATTACTGCAAGTGGGAAATTTTCTTCATCATTACAACTTTCAGTATAACTGTTACAAAGACAAGTGAAAGATAACCAAAATAATTCTTGTATTTAGGACTTCCCTTCAGAACACTCCACTTTAACCATAAGATTTGTCAATCCAGAATGTTGCTTATATTTAAAAATACCCAACCAAACAAATCATCTGTAAAACATACTGTCTTATGTAATAATCAGGGAAGAATCACTACACTATTTTCCACACTGTAAGAAAAAGTCTTTCTGAAAATAGATGAGTAGAACTGATAGAATACAATTTTGTTTTCATTTTATGTATCAAGAAAGCCAACTTTTGAGTTTTCCCTTCCCAAATATGGAATAAAATCCCTTCCTACAAGACTGCTGCTAAGAAAAAGTGCCATCTCTGAATAATATCAGTAACATCACATGTGATTTAGATGAGGAAACATAATAAGGATAGAAGCAATACAGAGAATACAGGAGTTCTTTATGTAATTAACATACAAATAATAAAAGGAAAATGTATAGTGGTTTCTTGCTATCAAGGGATTTTAACTTGAACCAATGTACCACAGATACCAGGCCCAACCTTAAAAATTCTTTCCAGCTTACCTTAATGAGGTACCTAGTGATATCCCTCCCAGCAATATCTAACCGTCTGGTGAGATGAGGGAGAGAGAAACCTTCATAAACTGGGCAAATATGAGTTACACCGTCTCCAGAGTCCACAACAACACCAGTCAACAAACCTAAAAGAATGGGGGGGGGAAGAAGTACAACTTTTATTGGCACCTTCATAAATAGAGCAGAATAGTAGTGAGTTTAAGATAGGATTTTTCATTGTAATCTTAATAGAACCTCTGTTCTCCCAGTCATCATTTTGGGAAATGTAGTCACAATTTAAAATTCAGTTATTTCCATTCAGCTGGATTTTAAACTTAAGGTTATCATAGTAACAAATGCTTTCATATATGTTTTTTAAAAGTATTATCTCTACTTTTTCCTAGATGCTTACAACCCTACCGTTCACAATTTTATCTGGTGTTTTGACATCTTAAATTGCACTCTAATTGAAGAGAATGTCTAAGATCATTAAATGCTTGTTGGGGCACAAATTCCTCCTCAGATTCAGCTTTATATGTGCAACCTTACATTAATTTCTCAAGTAGGAAGAAACCTAGAGGTATTCAGGCCACAAGTTTACCTTGTTACGATTATTAGGACTTGTTGATTTTGACTAGTATTCAAAAAATAAAACAATGCTTTCGATAACGTAGAGAGTATTTGAACTATGCAGCACACATCTGATTTTTTTCCCCACAGAAACAGTGTTAGGCTGAATCAGATCCACTGTCATAGACTAAAGAAATTAACTCCAGTGAAATAAGTTTACCATAAAACCATTAAATTCTAAGGTGTACAAAACTGAGATATCATAAGCATATAGAAACAGAAGTTTCTATACTTCACTAACAAAATAAATAAGCAGAATTAATGGTGAAAGTTCATTAGAAAACAGTTTTATAGTTTCTCACAAGCTACCTAAAGCAAGAAAATATATAAGGGAACACCTTAAAGTAATGAAGGAACATTTAATATGTAATGGCAAGGTGCATTGGTTTGGCTACTGTAATTTGCTCAAGCTTTGTAAACAGAAGGCAAACAAATTGGTTATTTGCTTCGAATGAACCAAATAACACACCTTGGTTGAGCTGTGTGATCAGATCTTCAGATTTATTAGTGAAACTGGAATAACCGCTATGCAAACACAAGTCTTGCAATCGGACACACACAGTAAGGAAGGAAATAGTCACAAGGGACTACACCTAACTCCAAAAGACTGTTGTGAGGAACTGCTAAAGAATTTCCTAATTAGAACTAGGTTTTGATATATAAACCCCTTTGCCTTTAGAAGGCACACAAGCACACAGAATTCCAGGTAAAAGCAACAATTAGTCTTAAGAGAGTTTTAACAGCAGCAACAAAATGTGGTGCACTGAAATGAGGCATGTCTCTGTATGTAGTTTTAGCCACTACTTTAATCCTTAATGTAATATAAATAAGTAGGATGTTTTAAAAGGCTTTTTTTTATTTTCAAAAGCAAATGTACTATTTATGTGCCACTTGGTTTTTGTATCTTCGAAAGTCTTCAACTTTGTTTTAGATGATAGTATGTAGAAACACTGTGGACGGCTCTAAGTTGTTTCACATTTTGTTATTCACAAAATAATTGAGCACTACACAGTAAAATACATGTACAATTACAGCAGAATTTAAGACTCTATATGTTAGTCAGTTAAATACTTATAAGGAACCAAACCACAGAAAAAACAAGGGGGGGGGGGGGGGGAATAAGAAGAGTAATAGCACAGATTGCAGCAAATAAAATTAATATCCAGGTCTGCAAAAGTAGTTTTAGTTCAACTAGTTTTAATGACTTGCATAACAGAACCACCCTTCCAGTACCCCATCACTTTTGCTCTTGGACATAGAAACTATGGTGACATGTTAATGGACAAGGATATTTATGTGCTGCTAAGTGACAGCTAAATACACCAAGCCACTAGTAAACAGATATAAGGAGTAATGTTATTAGAACTGATGTGCTTGAGTAACTTCTTAAAATCCTAGATGGGTTGCAGCCAATGGTAGAATTTCTATCGAATTCTGTGAATCTGTAATTTTCTCCTCAGGCTGAGCATCATTTATTCTAGTTTACCTACAGCAAAAGAATCAACATTTTTTTTGAACAGAAAATAGTGCAAAAGTCACCTAGCCATCTTCTTGAAATTCACTTATGGTAATAAATTCTTCCTTTACCAGAAACTCAAAAGCACGTCATTAAGACTTGATGCCAAAGGCTAAATGACTACACCCTGAAACAATGACAGTTTTGATAAACCAGGTTTTTGCGTTTACAAGCATGCCTCCACTGGTTCATGAAAATAACACTGACAGTGGTACCTATCAATAGTTCCTCAAAACAAAAAGCAAGCCCGTAAGTCAGAGCTGAGCTTACTTACAACAGCAAGACCCATTAATACCATATTAGCACTTTGGCTCAGCAACACATTTATAAACTAAACAGATTTTAAGTTATCTTTGCCTACCTTGAGCATACAAAGTAAGAACAGCCTGAATGGCTACATATACCCCAGAAAACTGGTATGTCTCAAACATAACCTGTAAGATGAAGGCAAAAGTTAACGTCCAAAACAGGTCAAATACTTAAAAGAAATTTTATAGATGTTTGAAAACTGTATTTCTAGAATTCTGTATTTTTGCTAATCAAAAACACTTTCCAAGAAATTTCATCACACAGATTTACACAAACATTAGAAACGTACTTGCTTTATGGCAGTAAGTAGTACATTCAGTTCTATACCTTACCTGTTCACACAAGATGAGCCATATGAAATATTCCACATCCGTTTAGCAATGAAAGTGAATAATTAAAAGAAACCCACACACCAATTTCTGCAGCTTTACTAAGCCGTTTTCCAAAGTGCTTAATGAGTGGGAGGCAGTACTTGTAGACCAGCCAAGTACTTCATTACTGAAGTGTGAGTTGGGAATGAAATGTTTGTTAAAGGTGTATGCTCTAAATCTAATGAAGTTCAGGGGTTTTTTTTATTCTTTATATCAAGCCCTACAGACTTTGTACAACTGCAGACTATGTCAAGTAAAGACCAGACTCCTACGCACATGGGTCTAGAATAAGCCCAGCATCACAGGTTGTTCTCTGCATCTGGGCCGCCTTCTTCCCTTCTTTAAAGCACAACAGACTTCTAGAATTAGTGCAAAATCCACTACAATTGAAGCAGTACAGGTAGGGCTAACTCTGTTACTACATACAGAAAACCACAGATTTGCAGAACGCCTACTGAAAAGTAACTGCCTGTCTTTAGACTAGGTTCCCCTAACCACTAAACTAGTTTCAATGAAGAAAGAGAGTCTAAGATTAAAGGATGCAGAGTTTATAAGATCTTGTCTTCTTTATAAACACAAAAAAAGGCCAAGTAAACAAATCATACTGTACAGCAGTTTTCCCCTCAAAATGCTTCACCAGGAAAAACGGATGAACTCTGATTATTCCAGCATATACAGAAGTTTTGCTTTTGCTATTCTGCAGCTTCCTGAGCACTTCTGCAACTTCTAGGATTAGAAACTGATTAAATCCTAAGTACTCCCACAGCTCAAGTAAAAGATATCTAAATATTTTTAAAGAAAAAAAGCTGATGCCTGGCAATTTTAGAATTCTAAACTATTTAAAGAACCTCCTCTGTTACAATAGTGTGATTTTAAATGGCTGGCCCATATCAAAAACCTGATCCTTGCAAAGTCAAGTTAATTATTTCATAGCTGTATTGAGCACACGGCAAAACCCCTGGGGAGACCGATGCCGCCCTTCTCGGGACATTTGCTGTGAGCACGCAGTATAGCAGAAGTCAAGCAGAAAGGAACAGAGGGGGTAAGCTGCAAAGCACCCTGCCATGAGAACATCACACTTCGGGTTTTTATAAACCCCCCATGTGAACTGGGTAATATAAAAGGAAATTTAATACAGTAGTCAGGTGCACGGGCTAAGAATGAGCAAGACGTTACAAGGCTAGCAAGCAACTTCCGTAATGGCCACAATTTAGGACATACGCAATACCTTCAGAAACAAGAAGCAGAAGTGTCTGCCAGAAAAGGAACAGTTGAAAGGGCAGCAACTCAAAAAGAGATCCCATTTGAGCAGTCGTTGCCTAAAATCAGCACTACTCCAATGGTTGAGTCTTTCAAACAACCTGAGTGCTTTCAAAATGAAAAACTAATTTAAGAAAATTCTAAATTATCATCTTCATACAACAAAATGAATATTCAAACAGTATTAGTTACTGCCTTCACATGTCGTACTAAACCCTAGAAGCCACTGCAAAACCCTTTTATAACCGATATGCAGGCCTTTGGAGGGTTGTTATTCTTTCTTTCAAGACATCTAGGTTCTGTCCTATTTGACATGAAAAAATGCCTTGACACGGGACATATATTTGTTAACGTGTAAGTTAACAAATCTTAAGACATAAACACTGGGCAGGATGTTCTCTTGAAAAGATTCTTCTTCTCGTGACAGCAGCTTTTGGATTATCTACAAAGTGATGTTCTAATTGGGCATAGAAAGGAAGAACTAAAAATTGGGAAAAAAGATAAAGAAAATTAGTTTGGGATTAGGAGAAGTGACTGTGCTAGAGTATCTCTACAGCTACATGATACGCTATTACAGTCTGGCCGCTCCTGAGGGTATTACAAATGAGAATGCAGCAGATAACTAGAGACAAACAAACAGCAAACAGTCAGTCAAGCTGAGAAGCAACCAGTGTCTTTCATGCTATGAAAGAAACAGCACTTTTAAAATATCTATTTTACAATATAGCTGTCATGTGAACACTTGCTGCTGTTACTATGTAGCTGAGTTTGATGGAGCGATGGGGAGAGGAAACAGAATTACTGGAAGTAAAATGAAGTACAGTGTATATAATTATCTATGATCTTGATATGGTCCAGATGACTAAGCTCTTCTTTTAAAATGCTACTGCACTGTATCACAAAATGCAGAGACGTTACTATGCTTACTGCAGGCTTTAGGAAAAATCTTAACTCAGTCCTCTGCTTCATACTGGGGTAGTCTCGCTGAAAAGGAGGAGTCCGTGTCAAAAATGGAAGAAAGGAGTATAAATATGTTGCAGTTAAAAACTAAATATTGCTAGTCTTCCTAACACTGTGATCCATTAAAAATATTAATAGAAACAATGAACTTCTGTTTAACTCAAATTTAAATTTACAAAAATGGATTCTAGTTTTCCCTAATCCCCTGGATCATGATTAAGTATCTACAATCTCTACAGTGGTTTAAAAAAGCAAATGGGGCAATACAAATATTTTGTCAGACTTCAGAAACCATACAAGACTCTTCAACTTATGGTATAAAATTATACTCAGTCCCAGAATAACTAAAACCCAGCCTTTTGTGTTTAACCGGAAAACAGAAACAAGAACACTATTGTAGACAGCTGAAAAGCAAAGAAGCCTGAACAGGAAATTCATCCACTCCTGCTACATGGAGGCCACCCAGAATAATCTGCTATGTCTATCACACCACAGCTGACTGATACACAATAGACGGTATTACTATTGTTGCATTACATAATACTTAGGTAATAGGTCCCTAATGTCCACAATTGCTAAGAAATGCTGAATTTAGATTGTACAGTTTGATTTTTGTCACTTAAGTTTTTCCAACTTTGCTATAGTTCACTTGCCCCCAAGCCACTGAAAAAAAAGATTAGCGCAAATATATTCACTGCCACGTTGCAGAAAGCACTACTGTAGCTGTGACAACAAAAGGACTTTAAAGGAAAGGTCAGCAGGTAATGATAAAGGTAAAGTCTTATCAGACTAAGCAACAGATTTGGGAAAAAAAAATATATACACAAGCTTTCATATTCAAAGTTCTGATAAATGGGTAAGGTTTCAGACTTAGAATCCATTTTTCCTGCCCTACCAGCTACTCTAGAACCGCATTTTTTAAGTTATGTTTGTTACACTGAATACTTACATTAATTAAAAATACCTATGATGCTTGAGAAAAAAAGCAAAACGGGAAACTAAACTTTTTGTTCTTGTCAAACATTACTGCTCTTCAAAATCGAGGCTTTGTCACACGGTACTGGAGCTAAACAATATACATCTGACAACCTACATTAACACAAGGTTCAGATGGAGCTTAGGTCACCCAGGGCAGCACTCTGAGATTGAGGATCCAAGAACCAGGCTTTCCTTCTTAGAAGGCTTTCATCGATAATCCCTAGCATTAATCAAAGATTAGTGAATTGGTTGTCATCACACCTTTGTCTCAACTACCTCCAACAACACAGCTCCATCTGGTAAGCATCATCTTGCTCAAACCTCAATCTCCTCTGAAGCATTACTGGCTTACAGCAGTCCAAGTCATTTAAAGTAATTAACATTCATCCAATAGCTAGTAATCAATATATCTTGGATACATGAAGATAAACATATATTTCCAATTCTGTGTTTTAATGGTGATATGGCTTGAGACAAGAAGCCTGCTTATAGCTTTTGAATGAGATCAGCTTGTTTGAATTTAACCACAGTGGCCTTCATGACTATGGCTTGAGGACGAGTTCTGGCTAGAAAACAGAACTGCTTTGCCTCAGACAGTTACCAGGTGTTCCAAGAAGTTAAAATCTCTAAGTGATGCTTCAATGACAGTATATATCAGTTTCTACTAGACATACCTCCACGATCTTCTCCCTGTTTTTAGTTGGATTCATGGGAGGTTCTGTGAGTAGTATTTTACAATTTTTTGTGTCAATATTAAGTTTTTCTGGTCCAAACGTGTAATCCCAGAGGTGCTTCATATCATCCCAGTTCCGAACTATGCCATTCTCCATTGGATAATTCACTTCCAGCATTGAGCGTAATTCACTTGCTTCATCACCAACCATGAGATCCTGTAAAATTTTAATATAGAAACATGTCAGTGCTTGCAAAGTTTTCTAAATACCAAAATCCTCAAAATGACAGTGAACTGCTCCAGCCTGTGTCCAACTGTGTTCTTAAACAATGCCCACATTTTAGAATCATTTTCAGATACTTAGGAGAGAAGTAGAATATATTTCATGTAGTATTTAAATTTGGCTGTTACCCATCCCAAACCTTTTCCAAAATAAACTTTATTAATTCCATTTTCCAATTAACCTTAAACAAACCAATAAACCCTGTTACAGCTAGATACTACAAAGACCTTTGTAAGTACAGATGTTTCTCCACAGACACCTCCAAAATTCTTTTATCAAATACTAATTTCTAAGGGCTGAGATGCAAAATAGGACATAAGGGTAATAGGTGGGCTTGGCAGAATATTTTTCCATGCATGTTGCAAATTTCTGTGCACAATACCAAAAAAGGAATAATGAGTGGTGAATAAGCATACCAAACAGTAGCAAAAGCAAATAAGAGATTAGGAGTTCCACACCAGACATTAAAAGAAACAATGGTTTACATATTGCCTATGTCAGTAGGGTGTGAAGAGACACATCTAAATATTTTGTCCCATGCCAAAAGTCCCAAGCCAAAAACCCCAGTAATGCATTCTTACACAAACACAACCAACTAATGCATAGTTTGTATAGTCATTTCACACTGATTAAGCAATCGGTTTATTAAAGTTAGTTATGCAAACATTGCACATTCAAATTAGTAACATCATATCTTCTCCTTTCCCACGTATTTCCCAGAGGAAGTAGGCACAGTAACATCTTAATCTTTGCTCTCTATTATATCCCATACTTTTCTAAAGAAGCCTTAAGTGACTTGCTCATGTTTAGCCTATAAGAACGTATTTCTAGGTACCAATAGCACTGTTTCCATACTACTGTATTAATTTAACTGCAAAAAACCCAGCTGCTTCGTACAAAAATATGCCACCGCAGTTTGCAGTTACTGTGGCACAGAAACCTTTGAAGCGAGGCTTACTCAACCTACTATTCGATGCTAGGGGAAAAAAGATGCACAACGAAAAATCCGGCATCCGGTTTATAATGCCTTTTTTTAGAAGTAAACTAAACAGTTACTGTTGACTATATAAAAAGGAAGTTAATTGAAAATAGTTTAAACCAAACCATTCCTTTTCCACACTCTCTCACCGACAAGGTGTTTCATTTGTTTTCCCTTGCACAGTAGGTCACACTTCAGTTATCTCAACTGTACAGAAGACAAGACTCTAACATTTTAAATCAGATGTACTCTAGTGAAACTGTACTATGAAAACTCCACCACGCAGCCACGTTACTCCTGAGAATTTAAGACAACAGAAACTCCACCAGTTAGAAGAATCGGAAGCTTTTTTTGTGCATTGTTTTTTGAGGCTCTATGCTACCAAACAGGGCAGCCCAGGAAAAGCTGCTATGGAAGTTGCACAAAACTTTCACGTCCTTTTAAAACAAAGCTAAAGGGCAGAACAATTGTTCTCAAGAGCACACTAACAAATGCACACTTGGCAGGTGAGGAGGAAGAAGGACAGCACAACTGAATTTGCAGAGAGGAACCAGTATCATGACATCGAATGTTTCCACCACTTTGGTACTCAGTAATATTTGTCTAACCAAAATCTGAAAGTTTTTTCAAGCTCTTGGTTTGTAATGTTAAATATAGCAATATCTACTGTTAAAGATGCTGAGCTCGTGTTTAAGAGTTATTCTTACATCTTGCAAAAGTACAGGTTATGTAGCATTTAGAAGCAATACATAAAATATTCTCATGAATTAGTTGCTATTAAACCAAAGCAATGAACAACGTCCAAAATAAGTATGTATTCAAATGTAGAATGTAGGACAAGACAAAACAATGAAAAATAACAACAGCTACTAGGTCCCATCAAGCAAAAATGGTAAACAAGCAGCACAGGGGCACCTCACTTACCATCTTTTTGTTATTCTACTTCAACAGGTCAAGAAAGGTGAAGAAAGAAGGTAGAAGCAAGAAAGTCAGAAAAGGCCTAAATGAAATTCTCAAATTATTTTAAGTACACAGTAGAAATAGGCTGAAAAGAGATGCATGTACAGCGGGAAATGATCTGAGTTAGTTTAGTTAGGGCCAAGCTAACATTCTCAGGATCTCAGATTAAAATGTCTCTTTAAAGGAAGCTATTGCTACATGTCGCTGGCATGTCATGTTTATGCATCTCACATTGCAAACAAGATCAGTATATGTGCCTCTTTCTCATAAATAGGATTCTGTGCATACATATTCTGCAACACTGGAGTTTTACCCTGGGCAAGGCATTTATATGAACTAGACAAGACTCTGCACAAGGCATTTGACTACAACTAGCTCTGACAAATGCTAAATTTCAATTTTGTTTTAAATATTCCGCTTTATAAACCCAAGAACTGAAAACTATAACATAAAAGTATTCACCTATAAGCAGGCTAATCTGTTCATACAGCATGGAACAAACACGCCAAAAGAATCAAATAAGAGATATTTACTTAAATTATGGCATTACTCTCAGAATGGAAATAAGCGATCATGAAGTACAGTAATAAGAACGGTGTCTCAAAGCTATTTCCCTATAAGCAAGCTATGGAGGTAGGAAGATAAGATAACTAAAGCAGCCGGGAAACACTATGAGAAATTTTAAGTGTATGTGTACAAACATTGTCTAAAATTATACTAAAGCCATTTCCACATTATTAAGATTTCTTCCTCCTTCGATCAAATTTACTTTGAGTCATCTAAACTGTCAAAAGCCATAGGATAACTATCAGTGCCATTAAGGCAAATCTGCTTATTCTGCAAATTGCATCAGAAACGTAGTTTCTGGCAGCTGCCTTTGGACAGGCAGTACCGAAGAGGCTGGTCAGCATGTGGCCCTGTTCCTCGCTTCAAATCCAGAGAATGACCTTCTCCAGGCTGTCTTTGGCAGAAACTGAGCAGAACTGTAGGACATGGACTATGGCTCAGCAGGTCACTGGGTCTGATCTGCCCTAAAATCCTAATTGTTTTAACCAAAGCTACTCATCAGTCCTGCCTTCCTAACAAGGTTATTAACCCCCAAACCTCCTTCAAAGATTAGTAAGTAGAAACTAAGAGCAGGATCTATGCTTCTGGTTTTAGAATTTTAAGGTTGCAATTTTAAGTAAAATAATCCCAGTAATAACTGAATTTTTGTGTTTATGTCCTGAACTGAAGACTCTTGAGTAGGAGAAAAAGCTACATCCCTGCTGCCGGCTGAAATGAGAATCCAGAAAGAAAACATGGACAAAGCAACTTGAAATTGGTAACTCAATAGATGAATGATAACCACTGTTTTGATCAGCTTCCAGACTCTTCTCACAGAGTTTCTGAATTTCACAGGAATGACAGCTTTTCTGAATAGTTTTGAAAAGTTAAACTGATAATCTTCTTGCCAGCTTCCTTTACTCAATTTTAAACTTATCCCGTAGGAACTTGCAGTGAATAGCTAGAATTAAATTTTGGCATAAAACTCATCTGCTAAAATACATTTTTTTTTAGGAAATCTGCAAGAATCTCACAAAGAAAAATGGCACTCACACTTAACAAGTCTTCCTACTGTATTATCCTACTGGGATAGCCAAAGTATCTGTGGCAGGGATTTCTTCTCTTGACACACTGTTTCCTTAAGAAAGAGTGACAAGCTATTATAGGCAGATGCTATAAAACTTCTAGGAAGAATCCAGACACAGTTTATAGTCTCTAAAATACACCCATGCCCGTCTTCTGCATGCTCAAGCAGAAGATGGGCGATGCACGCGAAATTATAGTTTACTGGTTCTTTCGTACTGATCTCATAGCAATTAACCACTTCTACCTCCTATATTTCCAATTCAACACTGTCATCCGTAATGATATTAAACTAAGTTATCAGATAATCAGAGAATACCAAAACTGGCAGGACAGGCTGTATCAGATCAGCTGGAAAGAAAACATGACTTCAACAATGACATTTCATGCAAGCCAATTTTTCTTGGACTTAAGACTTGTAAATCACTGCATAACTTTCATAAAACCAGGACCTCCTTGAAGAAATTGTCACATTAAGTTCAAGTAGATATCCAAAGAAACACCTCTCCCCAAGTCTTGCAAGAGAAAGGAACATGTTTTCCCTCTCCTTACAAAAACTCCTATCTACTGTGAAAGGGAAAGATCTCCACCCTTTCAACTACCCTTTCAACCAAATTGTCCTAGCTGACACAAGGTAAGCGGTATTGCAATATTAAAAAAAAAAAAAAAAAAAAAGGGTATTTTGGAAAGGCCTGATGTCTTTCATCCTCTTGACTTCCCACTATGGCCTTCTGCTGATACTACTAACTTTTTACAGGCAGCAGCAGAAATCAGGTAACTGAAGTTCTTCTTGTTGCCCATAGGGTTCTGAAAATAAGCAAAAAGACTGGGCAGATTTTTTTTTTTTTTCCCTTTTACTAAGCTGCTGCTCAGAAGCAACAAGGAAAGCAAAATTGAAAGCCTGTACATGCGCGGTTCTACTTGACTCTCACTGGCCTAAGTGAGGGCTTCTACAGTTCTGCGTCGCCTCCTGCTTCTCCCTCAAGTTCCTGCTTCTGCCTTGCTCTCAAACTGGAGCTTGCTCAATTATCTAGTAAGGCAGTCAAAACTTTACCTGACAAAGAAATCACTCTTTTTCAGCTGGATCAGCTCACTAAAGTGGCTCACCACATGACTGCACAAGCAGTACGACCAGCACAAGGTGCGAATGAGTGGCTAGAAGCAAGAAGGGAGGATGTAACCGCAGCAGGGCCAAGACATTTACTGAAGCCTGTATTGCTGAAGCAACTACTAATATCTGAAGCATTACTCTGTAATTACAAAATAAAGCTCCCCAGACTTCAGAAAAAGATTCTCAAACAGTGGTCCCCCCCACTCCAAGCTTGGAATCCCAAGATGAAGTAGCCTGAATACAGCCTCTCCATCTCTAACTGGTGTGGAGTACCTGTGTTTATCAACATAGATAAGAAAAGAAAACAAAAACAATAGAAATGATGAAATGCAAACACAACCAAGGTTAAACATCTTATACAAGATCACAGATGATCAACTGTGAGTAGAAAGCAAACAGTATAGAAAGACCTGGAAGCTCCAGCCATTCTTCAGCATTGTCTCAAAATCCCACAGCACAGCTCGGTGACAAACGTCAACCACTTCGGTCTGATTTCTGCCATCTAATCTTGACATCATTTACATATTGGCATTTGAAGCCCCTTTTTGCCCAGAACCACTCACGCCCTACCTGCTGCCTCCTCAGTTGTACTATCTGAAGGCCTCCAGTGCTTTAGATTACCCTCTTAATAACTTTGTAGTTTGTGACAGGCTAAAAACCGATGAATCAAGAGATACTGAAACAGCATAAAGGGGAATTAAGGAAAAAGCATTTCCAAACATTACGTAAGTCAAAAGCTGCCCTAAATATTTTTATCTGTCAGAACAGAAAAATAATGAAAAAAACTTACCTTGATTTCAATGTTTCCCACTTTAGCAGTTGATCTTATAATGGGTCTTCCAACCAAAGCTGGAAAAATGTGCTCTGGAAAATTTGAGCCTGCATAGCCACATTTCACAAACTGAAAAGGAATAAATAATTTTATTAGAATATGCATTACTTTTCTTTACCAATAGAAACCTCGTTTGGGGTAAAAAATTAAAAGCCCAAATTTAAGAGCATGTGTCCCACTGGAAACCAATTGGATTTATACTTTCAAATCAATTTTACACATTTCAGATGATGCATAGATCTGTAAAACTGAATTAAAGTATTTTCCAGAATGTTTTCTGAATCAGACTATCAGATTTTTGAGAAACAGTATTAAAACAACTAAGTACATTGAGAGGTGTAAAAGAGTCCAGTGTTTGAATTTAGATTTTCTGCCACTCCATAAAAGAGTTCTCTAGCAGCCTGAAACCCATCATTTTGTAACGGATCACCTTACAACGAGTACCCAATGAGACCAAATTAAATCGCCTCTCCAATTAGAGCACGCAGTAGCATAACAAATTACACACCAGAAAAAAACAAAACCTTGTGAGTTCAGGTGTTATGCTGTTATAGAAAGTGTTTAACAGTGAACTAGCAGATAGTCTGTGCAATTCAGATGGATTTCTCAGAGTTTCATAATTTTCAGGATTTCTTTTAAGGATAAAAATACAAGTTTGCAGTAAGCACTTGTAAAACCAAGAGCTCAACCAAGACCTCAGCTGATGGTAGTTCACACCAAACAGGATACTGTTAGTGTTTGTTACCCAAATACATACGAAAGGAAGCTTTATATCATTGGGTCCCAAGATAGTATATACACCAAGAAAACAGTGAGGATTAACTGAGCATTTAAAAAAAAAAAAAAAGTCACTAGAGGAAGCTCAGTTGTAAAACAAGAACTTCAAATGTGCCAGGAAGAAGTTACAATTTTAGCTCATGGGGATCAGCAAGTTATGCTCTTCGGCTATCCTACTCTGATGTTCCGCCTGCAGTTCACATAGAGCAGGCTTCTCTTTTTTTGATGCATACTTAGCATACTGTGCTACATCAACATGCCAGAACATCCTCCTGCAGTCCCAAACTAAACATTACGCATTTTCATCTGCAAAATTACTCAACCATCTAGGTGTAACAGCAATAACAGAGCACCACAGGATCATTCAGGTCTGAGAGGACCTCAGGAGCTCTCTCGTCCAACGTTGGGCTCAAAGGAGTCAACCTGAATTCAGACCAGGTTGCGTAGGGCTTTGACCAGTTGGGTATTGGAAGCCTCCAAGGACAGACAATTCACAACCTCCTTGGGACCCTGTCCTAAAGCTTAATTATCCATTTCAGGTTGTATTAAAAGCCATCTGCTAGAATTTCCAAAACGTTCACCGAGTTTTCTGAAGTGAGGTCTGAAGACTGCCACTGAAACAATTACCACAGCAAAGAGCACAGCTAATTGCAGCTGAGGAGAATTCTGCCATTACACTAACGGTAACATGAAAAGTCCCTTCTGTTGCTTTAAATTATTCGCCTTACTGCAGTAAAAAGGGCACCTGTTTTGGAAAGAAATTTATAAAGTCAATTACAGAAAGAGCCAAGAGATATTTTAATTAAAGTTAGGCTAATACAGGGGGGGAAGGGAAATTTTTTTGCTTTTTGTGACCCTAATTTCTTTCACCCTTTCAGTGCTTGCTGTCTCCAAAGGCAGAGCTGTTTGGAATACCTGAGGAATGACACTGTGTATACAACTCATTTTGCTCATTCTACTTCAATCCATGTTCTCTGAAAAGGCAAGTACTTATCAACTCTTTTGCTTATATTAAGGCCAGAAGTACCTAGGAGTTACATAGATCTTATCTGTGTATTCAAGAATGCAGTGCTGCTATGAGAAAGCAAAGAGTAGCCACAAGCATTTTTGGATCACTCTACCTGAATACACCAGAAGACTTCACCAGAAGTTTTACACCAGAGGAAACATGAGACATTTTGAAGGACTGAGCTGAGTCCAAATAATGGTGTCCAAATTTGGGGGGGGGCGGGGCGGGAAGCTCCCTTTCAGAGTTAGCAAATTACAGCATTCAGGGCAATCACACAATTTTTGTTGCAACTACAATATTTAGGTATGCTTGTTATAAATTTCATTGTGCAGGACCTGGACCTGATCAAGCTAGAAGGAAGTTCTATAAAACAGCCCATACAATCCCATCCTCCAGCTTCGGGTTTCATAAATTGTCCCAAGTACAACCATAAGCGCCTCCAGGTAGCCCATGCACCTTTACACCCATATATTTGCTTACAGCTTTTCCTCCTTTTCTTTCCCCCAGCATGAAGCAACTTCCCTACCAGTCATCACCAACCACACTGGTCAACAGAAGTAACAGGACCAGTAACATCTAAATGAATCTTTACAACTCAAGCTATCCACACTTTTAAATTCTGTCGACTGGGCAAATAAACCCCGAGATGTATATAGCAATCACTGAGACGCGCGACCAAAACGACTACTGCTCAAAATCAGTAAGTGCCTCTTAGCCAACCTTGAAAATACTTCTCGAAATCACATACAACTACGCTGACCTAGAAAATGCCAACCTACAAAAATACTATTCTAAGCTCTTACTATTTGAACTGTAACCGTAACTTCCAGCCCCTTTCCACATTAAAGCCTTGACACACCTTCCCATGTAGTTAACAATGTTAACAATGCTGGCAATTAATAAAATCCTAGATTTTAAAAGCAGACTGTCATTTCTTCAACCAGCCTAAAACACAATCAAAACCAGATTTAATCTATGTGAACTACAATGAGCAAGATTAAGCTTGGACGTTCACAGTCTGTGTTCCCTACCTCTTTCAGGCCAGAACAGAGAGCCTTAAAAATGACATTTTTACAGTCTGATAAACTCAACAGAAGATAGATGGGGCAAAATTTTAACTCTGCCTCTTCCCCTTCAAATTTGAAATTTACCCCCCCCAGGCTACATGAAAATTTGGTGAAGATGAGAACAAGTCAGCCTTGTACATCAGCTTCCCCATCAATGAGAGCATCCCCACTGTAGCATTCTCCCTGACGAGATATTGAATATTTAGCTGGTTCGGTAGGTTCGCGATAACATAACATTGGAAATCATGGCTGAAGAACCACACTTGGTAAAACTACCAACAGGAAATGCACCTAGGAAGCACAAATATATCCATATAATAGATCTTGAACAGTTTTAGATTTTTGAAGAGATACAGAAAACATAAGATACTTCTCCCTTCCTCACAGAAGATCCTTCAAAATCTTCAATTAAACGTTATGAACTGCAGTAGTTTGGAATATAATCAGCTTCTCTTTTCCAGTGCCAGACATTAAATACTCACTGTTCTTTCCACTCTCAATTTGGAACCTTCTAATAGAATTTAAGTATAGCGCACTTGTTTCTCTTCCGTCCCTTATTGCGCACACCCCTTGGAACAATTATCAAAAAATTTCAGTACAATGCTTAGTATACACGGTATCTTGAACAGTAACACTAACACTCAATGAATTTACGCATCTCTCTAAAGAAGCCGAGAGTTCATCATCACTCATCTTTGCATGCATTTGCTATACATTCAGAATGCTTTAAGAATAGCTACTTAGCTTGCCTGTGTGCAAGACCACGTATGTAAGAAATTTTACCATATATAGTTTCTTCTCCATTTCACTGTGGTTTATACTGACTCTTTCACTTCCTACTGAGTCATCAAACAGTAAGAACTTGTATGTATAAGTATTCTTTCAAACGAAAAGAATGAGGAAGCTCACAACAGGTCACATGACAGGTTTTAAAATGAATACTAATATTCTTATCAGGTCTCTGTGCTTGATTCTTTCCATTGATGCAACTCTCAAACAAAAACCCTAAACACAATTAGAGCAATTTTACAGGCCACTAAGTAACTTACCATTTGTCCTATACCAATATGAACATCCATCTCTAATGCTTTAGACCTTTAAGATGCCATTGCCTGCCTCTCTGCTACACTACATGTTGCAAGAACTTCCTTCTAGTCACCTCTTCCTCAAAGATTGGTTGCAGCCAGATACATCAGAAATCCTATAGCAGCGTAACAAGAACAGTAAATTTCAAAGACAAGCCTAAAGTTAAAATCACATCTGATTTTTCTAAAGATATTCTCCATTTTTATGTAATATTTCTGGCACCTAGCAAGAGATTTAATTTCAATCGTGGTTTTAAGTATGACATATCACAGTGTATCAGAAATCATTCTGACATAAAGCAACTCTTCTTTGTCATACAGAAAAATATTATTATAAAAATAGTGGTTTGACAATATAGGACTACTTGATAATCTCAACACGCCGTTGAGACTTGAAAGATTTACTCCATGGAACTTTCTTCAATTTCATTACCCCAATTTTAGTTCAATTATCCCAATTCGATCTAAATATTTTGAGTTTACTGATTTAACAATTATTTCTTGATACTTTGCTTTCCCACACAATGAACTCTGTGGCCAGGGTACTTCTATACACGTTGTTCTGCTCAGAGGCCGAACACAACCCAAAGCAACACAAGCTGAAGTAACACAGGCCCCTCCTCTCGGCACCGCCACGCCACTATAAAGGCACCTTCCACTGTTGGAGTTATTTATATCCCGCTGATACAAATCACAGAGGAAAAAAATGTATCATTCCAAGATGTCTCTCAATTTAAAAGCACACACAGATATGTTATACTGTACAAAATCTGTGTTGCAAACACTGGGAAATTAGGTAAAAATAATGGCTTCTACTCCATGCCTCACACCTCACTGAGACCGGCCAAAGCACAGCACTGCTGTCACTACCAATATAACAAACTCAAAGATTTATTGCTGTGTAAAGGACCACACTAAAGGATGAAGCTCTAAACTTTTTTTTGGTTATGGGCCTGACAATAAGAGTATTAAACAATGAAAAAAAAAAAAAAACCCAAACCAACAAAAAAGCTTTCACGTCCCTTTGTAAGAAGAAAATGGTAAATGCCTTCTTTTTTTCTTTCCTTTTTCTAAATGATAGTGTAAAAAGTGCCCAAAGGCTCTGGACCCCAGCCCTATTAACGATAATTT